CTAGAAAACAAGAACATTTAACAAGCAAATTCAATAGATGACATAATAAAACAGTTAATCTTAATCTATAGAAAATCTCCGAATTTCCTTAATTCCACTGAGGCATTGAAGTAACTGTTTATATGACCAGGCCATACTTTTAGAGTAATTCTGGCTAATTCTATGTCTTTATCATGGAACTGGGGAAAAAGACAGAGTCTGTTGCCAATGCTTGTAGATCTTGTAGAGCAATATTGCTGATGAATGAAGGGCTGTGTTTGTGAGAGTGTCCTTGGGATTCTACAAACTATGAATCAAAATTCTACTTTTTCATATGAATTTAGTTGTAGGCACAGTTTGTGGTGACTGGGAGTGTGGCTGCTGAGCCTCATCCCCAGTGGGTGCAGCTGTGAGCAGCAGGGGAGCAGCACTGGCAGCAATGAGCCAGGGAGTGCCCAGGGGCACTGAGCAACCACCAAAGGGAGCAGAGGGCACACAGGGGCAGTGCAGGGACATGAGGGAGGGTATAAAAGGCTGGGCTGAAGAACAAGAAGGGCAGACACTTGCAGCTTGCTGGGGTGGGATGGTGTTACTCTGGTATGGGCAGGTGCCTGAAGCCTTCTGGTGTGGTAAGGTGTTACTCTGTTTGGGTTGGAGCTTTCTGAAATTGTAGGATGATACTCTCTGTATTGTAGCCATCTCAACTGTTGCATATGCTACAACATTCAGGGAAATTCGTTGTTTCTGTAGTGTATAGGAATTCTTGGGAGTAATTATCACATACGTGAGAGAAATAGGTGTTTGGAAGGATTGATACATGTTCTGTGCTTCCCTGAAGTAGCTGGAATTAGGATCTAAATAAATGTACTTTTCTGGAGAGCTAGCTAGTTCCCATGCAGGTACCCCAGGCTGAAACTTGCAGTAATGTTTTAGAAAACTGGACTTTGTTAAGCACAAAACTAGCATGATATCTTCAACAGATACCAGCTCTGCTCTGGCTACACCTAACACAGACAGAGAGTTAGGGATGATACATATATACAAAAATATTATTTAGAAAACTGAGTGTTCTTGGGATTTGTCCTTGTGTTCTTGATATCTATTGTGTTCCACAGTGTAGTGTATTATCAATGGGTCCCAGGGGTTTGTGATTATTTTTCAAGTCACTAGAAATCTAAACTACCAGACTGAAGGAGCTTTGAAGTTTTCTCTACTTGCTGCAAACTCCCAATGATTGCAAGGAGAAAGCATGTGTCTGATTCCTGCATGTTTCTGGAAGACTCTCGAGGTGCTGTGCTGAATAACTGCTCTTGGACCTTAGACTTGGCAAGCTTGGTAAAATAGGATTTTTAATCTCTGTTATTTTGATGGCCAGTGTTGCAGTTCCTGAGGCTTCCAGGGCTGGGGCATGTTATATATGCTTTGAGGATTTCCTATGGCATAGCTTAGCTGTTCATGCCCTTGGCAGTTCTGACTTGTGGGGTGTGAGTGTCTTGGCACTACAGCATCTAAAAGTGGTGAGATACTCTTGAGAAAGTTTGGCATCTGGGCTTTACTTTGTTGGGGTGGAGTGGGGATGATGAATACTGCATATACCAGGCTGTGAGCCTGTAAGAGAGGAAGGAGAGTTACAGGTGAGGAAAGGTAAATATTTCCATTTAGGCATCTAGGTTGTGGCTAATAGTGAGTGGAGAAAGAACTGGGAGCGCTGGAGGTGTGAGGAATATAATGTGTAAGATACTTTTACATTTGTTTATTAAACGGGTTCATTTGTCAAATGATTTCCAATATTTTTCTCACTCAAAATGAAAATTAACAACAGCTTCAAAATATAAATGTTGCTATACATCGATCTGTTTATGATTATACCTCCTATACCCTGACTTCATACTTATTTAGGTGTTGCTGGAGTTTTCTGAAAGTTTTGTGAATTACCTACTTGAGACATAATTTTCATAATCTTCTTCTTAATCTATTTGCATTGTGTCAAATGAGGTCTTTGATTTGGATAAAGCTGCATCAAAATCTTGAGCTTAGCTTCATATGAAGCTTATAATTTTAACATCCCCCATTCCACCCTCCCAAATCTCTCTTCTTGTTTTGGGGGCTGTTTATTCCATTTAGTATTAGATGGTTATAGATTTTGATGTTTTGGGTTTGCTCTTAGTAGATAAAGGGAGAGACTTGGCTACATAGTAGTTCAGTATACTTTACCATTACATTTACAGATATGATTGAATATCACTGAGACAAACTGAAAGCCTGACCAGTTCTCCTAATTATTCTTTGTCTCTTGCAGGAGCATTGAGCATACTTTATAACTCTAGGACTGGAAATTAAGTGAATCTTGCAGAAAACAGCAGAAAAGTCTTCAAATCCATGGGGTGTTAAAGTTGGTGGGGGCTTAATGAGAGATTTTAAAACCTGAAAGTGTGCTGTGAAGTGCTGGATGGTTCAGAGGGAAGCTGTCCAGCCGAATGCTCCTGCTTACTTAGCAAAAGCTATTGCATTAAAGCAGAAGTGGAAAAAGTGTTAACTTCACTGGCATGTTTTTCAGGTCCCTGTGCATCTTTGATCATTTCCCTATTTACAGGATATCTGCAAGAATGCAATATGCCATAATAACCTGTCATTTAAAAAGTTTTTTTGCATAACTGGTCACTTCAGAAGTTTTTTTTCAGCTTCAAAGGATACCTTTTGAAGCTCTGAAAAGCATAAGCCAACTAATAGGATTTTCACCCCTGCTTTAAGGAGCTGATTGGACTAGCCTTGGTGGAAGCAGCTTTTAGGCACGATTGCCCTTCCTTAGGGGAATTTTCTTACAGTTTAAGGCAGAAGCTTCTTTCCCCAACCTGCAAATAATGGTTTCAAAGTAGAGAATGTTATGGTGCTAAATATTCAGAGATCTGAGGTCTAAACTAGTAATTTTCTCCTGGTATTTTGTATCCATGGCATTTCATCCCATGAGAAGAAATTGCAGAAAGTATAAATTTAAGCCTCTTGCCTATCTGTATTTTCCATATCAGTGCATAGCAGGAAAAGTGTGCTAAGATTTACATTGGAAGCTAAATTTCAAGTAAAAAAATCAGTTGTTATTGGAAGAAGCTGCTTTAAAATTTTGATCTTGATAGCTCATGAGGATTTTTCGTTGTTAAATAGTATGCATAGCGATTGTGGAAATAGTATATTTTTTTTCTCAGTTTGAGAATTACCTGTAAAGTGATTATTGATCACTTGTGCCAGGCAGAATTCATTTAGAAGCTGATTATATTTTGAACACTTTAAACAAGACTTTCACAACAGTACAGAAAGTGCTTTTTTGCTATTGCTCTGTCAGTTTATTTTATTTCTCTATTTTTCAGTATCCTTAGAAGATGAGCTAACTATGGCCCTATATATACTATCAACCATGTTAGTCTCTGCTTTCCATAGAGAAGGTCTCCTCTGTCTGATTGTCAATTTCTCTGTCTAGGTATAATCATGGTTTGACAAGTTCCTGCAAAACTGGTAATAAGGTTTCAATAAATAAAATTCTTAAAATGTGGCTTACTCTTCCTGTGTGGAGAACCCAGTATTATATGAAAGAGTTTGCTATTTGAGTGAGATATAAGAATATTTTGAAAGTTTCCAAAATAAAAGAGGATAAATGCCATCATATTCATAGAATTATTGTTTATAACTGTTTTTGAAGATTCTTCTCCTTTCACTCTGGAGATGTTTCATACTTTTCTCCTCAAAAATATGCCATTGACCTATTTTACCATTTATCTGTGTTGCATTTCTCTACCCTATATGCTGACTTCATTGTCATGTCTTGGGTTAGGACAAGTCACTTCTGTTCTGGTGAAGTCTTGGAGTTTTCTGTAGGGTTTTTCCTCTGTTTAAACTCATATGAAATTTATCTGGTAGTTTACATGTAAAAAACTTTGAGTAACAATTCTTTTCATACTTCTGAAATGGTTTATATTGCTTTCTTTCACCAGACAACTGTTGGCTTTACCATGGTCAACTCCCAGCCTAGATTGTACTGGAAGTGCTGAGTTTTCAGGTTTGAAGTGCTCTCACTGTTCAATAAACTGTAGTACATTCAAGAATAACTTTTAAAGATCTTTTAATCCTTTCCTGTGTCTTAGTAACTTGTGAAAGATGGGAAATTGTGGCCTTATGTCACTTTTCTGCCTAGGAGAGAATGGTGTCTGCAGTGGCTAGAACAAGAGTGTACACAGCACCATATATTGGTTGGAGTGTGTACTTTGCCTTCTTGTTTTACACTCATTGTGGTATCTGAAGTACCAAGCAGTAATTACTATTGATGGCAGCATGCCAGAGGCTGGATGTCAGTCCTTGTGTTCAAGGTATGCTTTGTAGTCCAGTTTCTGTCTAAATTCTTGAGGCCTCTTCCTGCATTTGAGAGCTTTTGTGTAAGACACAACTAATAATCCTATCAGAATAATTAAAATATACCTAAACCTCAAAGACTGAATTTCATAGCTGTTTGTACTCCAGGGTTTTTCTTCCCATTATAAAAAATAAAATGAGAAGGCTCAGCTTTTAGACTTATGAGAGTAATTTAACACTGAGGTCTCTCATCCCCAACTTCAGTTGTGCTGAAGCAGTGTGCTTTGGTGAATAGAAAACAACTCATGTTTTTAGACGGTCTTTGAACCAGGTTAACATAGGCTGTAGATGCACGTAAAATAGCTTTATCCCTAGCACCTCATTTTCTTTTGGTAAAACTTTTTGTAAAATTTCTGAAGTAGAACTTGCAGAAAAATGGTAAGTGTACAATAAAACACTATTTTACGCTCCTTTGCATCCAGATCACGCTTTTCTTTGTGTCATCTGAAGATGCAGCTGTTCTTTCACACAGTTGATTCATGTCATCCACAATTAAAATGTCCTTGCTATTTAAAAAAATGCTTCTCAGCATGTCTAAAAAAGGTTGTCAAAACAATGGCTTGTTCACAGTGAGAGAAAAGCGCTTGATGTTTTACAGAAGATTAATGCAATGACTTGACTAGAACAATCTGGTTTTATCTGATTTCAGATGAAGTCATATATTTTCTTGTATCTTGATGGTTTGTTTAAAACCAGATCTTCCTGATTTGGAGCCAGAGATGGTAAGATGCACCTTATTTGTGATTCTTGGGTGATAGACCTTATTTACAAGTACATCCATACTGATCTTATTCAACATTGCAATTTCTATCAAATGTTGCTGCTTTTTTTCACCAAATGCATAACTTAACTTGTTATAGGTACTCTAGGGTATGCAGCCGAAATGTTCTAAGCTCCAGAAATTTGACTATTGATAAATCAAGTAGTATTTTTTCTGCTTTTACTGAGTCCTTTGAGGGAAGAAATACCATGAGGCTTGCTCTTGGCTACTTGGTAATATTTGGACATTTCTAAAATGTTGAGGGGAAAAAAAACTTCATTCAACCTGATGAGAATATTGAATTGTCACAACTCTTATCATAGTAAAGTTTTAGTAACAATTTTAAACTTCTTGCTTCCCTCTGGAATTCACTGGACACACAGGTATCCTTATCATGTGTGGGGGAGGGTTCTGCTTATGAGTATGGGGTTCTAGTGTACAAACTTCTGACTAAATGACTAGCAGCTGTATTTAGGTCCTTATTACTTATTAGGGTGCTTACCTTTTAGGGTTGCTTAGCTCCAGATTGTGGCAGGGTGTTTTTGCTCTAGTTCAGAATCCATGCTTCTCTCTGTGAAGCTGCCTAGCAAGCAGTGGTTAGACTGCTTTCTGGAATATGGGAAGACAATCTCATTCCCCCTGTCAGTGAAAATTCCTATTTGTGAAGTTACAGATGGTTTGTGGTTTGGGGTGCTTTGGGATTTTTTTTTTTTTTCAGTTTGAAACTGCTCCTCTTTAAATAGTCTGATTTGTTGTGCACAAACTAGATGTCTGTTACTGTTTGTGAATGGAGGGCTATAGAGATCCTTGTTAGTGAAACACACTCATGCACTGCAGCAGGAACTGGAATCCAGTTTGTTGCCCTTATCAGTAGGTTGGGATATGTATTTCTGGGTTTAGTCTTGTAGAATCTATTTCCTTCTAAACTGAAACTGCTTCACCTGAAGAGTTTTGCATTTTGTAGCAATTGGTGGGTAAGAAAGATCCCCTAAGCTGTACCATTGTAGCAGTTGAACAGCTAGACCACCTGCCAGCTGTACTGCAAATGAGGAGAGTTGCATTTTTTTTTCTTTGAATTATTTCAAAGCATTATCCACAATTAAAGGTTGTGAATTTGAAATGGAGGAGAGGCCATTTTTTTTAAGCAATGTGAAAGTACAATGTCTGAATTGCACTCCCAAGTATATTTAGGGTAAAGGCATCTATTTTGCTTTTTCAAAGGTCTGATCTGTGTGAGGAAATTTGCTAATCCTCTCTATATATTTGTAATTGCCACCTGTGTTATTAAGAGGCAAACATAAAACCCCCTCAGGGCTCATGTAATTTATTGTAGTTTCAAGATGCTTAAAAATTGAGCACTACAGTTGAAAGCATTTCTATGTGTAGGCCCTTGAAAAGACCACAGTGCCTAAATTCAATTAATATTTGATCTCATGCACCTGTGCCTCTTAAGCCTGAAGACTTTTTTTCTGCTTCTAAGGGCAAACCCATTCATCCCTCTCCCATTATCTGTTCTGTGCACAGATGTGCTCAGTGTGATTGTCATCATATTCCTTGGGGATGGCTGCAAGTCAGTGTGGCAAAGGGTTTATGGCATTGATGTAAGTTTTACATAAGGACTTTGAACAGTTGAGTGCTCTTGCTGCTCTTGGAATCCTAGTGACTCTACCATTTTCATGTTGCACATGGATGGAAGTTTATTGCTGCAAACACCACAAATGGGCCCTATTTCTTCCCCCTTTTCAATCTTCTGCTTGTTGATAAATACATGATGTACATATTGACCATTTTTTGAGGCAGGTATCACAGCCATAAAATCAATTTTATGCAAATAAAATTGATAGGAACTGGCCTAAGATGACACATTCAACCAAGCATATGTTCTGAATAATATTTGTTATATCTTTGGAAGAATATGCATTTTATGTAGGAGCAGCTATTTTGTCATCTTATTTTGAAGGCAAGATGCTCATAGTCTTGTGTTAGATATCTGAATTGGTCACTTTTCTGTGTAAGTTATGCTGATTTGTAATGTGTAATACCAAAAAAAAAAAATATCTCTGCTCATGTATGAGGCATAGTGCAGGTGGTCGCAGTCAAAAGGAATTAGCAGTTTTGAATTATAAATGTAGTATTTTCATGAAAACAGTGGAGATGTTTCTCCTTATACATGAGAGTGCTTTCTATAGCATATGAAATAAGCCAGCCTGAATTTATATTCTAGGTGGCACCATATTCTAGGGTGGCATTTTCCTGTGCTTCATGTCTGTCAGAAAATTAGGGTAGAAATGAAGAATCACAGAAGAGACATAAAATCAATGTCTACTAGGACAATTAGCGATCTATTCAGAGCTCATCACTGTACAAATTAAGATCGATTGCGTTTTGCTACTGTCTTTAATTTAATGAGGGTAGCAGCTGCTCAGCTACTTACAGGAGTCGCAGTATTTCAACACTGTGTAGAGGGACTTTGTTCATTTTTATCAGCACAGAAGGTAGTAAATTCAGCAAGTAGTATTTCAGGGGGAAAACCTTCCTCTACAAAGAGACTCTTCAATTACTTCTGTAGCTCCATAAGACTTCCTCCCTTACGTCTTCACTAGTCTTGATCATTCAAAAACCCAATGTAGCCATTATAAGAAAATATTTTTCCACAGATAATGGAATTAAAGAGAAGTCAGGGGCAAGTCAATAAACCATTATGAGAATCACAAACATAATAGTTTCACAAAAATGATACCTGGCCTGCTCAGAACCTGAACTCAGTTGTGTTGTTTTTTGAAAGGAGAATAATGATAGCAGTTATCCCACTTGTGGTTTCAGAGGACAATATTGTAACATTTCTAGTTGATTTTTAAGTCCTTCAAAAGAGGTTCACTTTGGTCAAATTGAGTCTAAAGTGCCTAGGCTTTGTTAATTCCAAATTGGTAGTTCCTCCTGATAAATGCAAATTTTGTTTTAAATTGACTCCAATGGAAGGACACTCCATATGTAGAAGCATGTGAGGATTTGTAAATTTTCCACAAGAGAGTTTTGAAACCTTAAATGTCACAGGCTTTTGTAGCTTGTTCTGAAATTCCTAACTTTGACACAAAGAATATCTGTGTTACCGAGGGACTAACACTAACATAGTATAACTGGGTGAGTAGTTGGGTTTTTAGGTTCTGATAAGGTCAGAAAATTTTCTCCACAGCTTGACTAAGTCAGAATGGAAACAAATGGCTGTGTGAAATTGACCTAAGTGTTTAATGAACATCAAGTTTAAAGATTTCATTTTGATGCCGGATTCTTCTCAATGTATATATTATATATAGTAGAATCTTCTACACACACACACATATATGTGTATATAACTTAAAGGTTAAGGAAACATGCCACTTTCAGAATGATGGAGTGTTCTTATAAAGGTTTTTATCATATGAGAAAAATCGGTCTGACAAATCTGCAAAGCATTTTATATTCCAGTATGTGTTTTTCTAAAACCATGGGGATCTTTTATTTCCGTTGTCTAATGTAAAGTCCTAGTCTAAAGTGCATACATAGTGCCAAGATAACACAGATATATTTCTGTACTGTGAAGGAAAGACCTGAACCCCCTCTGTTGCAGGTACTGTTTCTGCTTGGGAAGAATTATGGTGTGCTGTTTGTGTTCACTCTCATGAGTAGTTTCTCATCTCAAAGGAAGCTGTGGGGATGGGCTGAAGCAGAGGGCCTGGGATCTAAGGTATATTTTGCATGGTCCAGAGAAGCCCAAATGCAGACTTTCTTGGGCAGATGGTTTGAGGCTGAGTTTTGTTGCTCTCCCCTCTTTTGTGCACTTCTGTTGAAATAAAAAGTCATGGAAGAAAGCGAGTTATCAATTCAACTTGGGGTTGTTAAAGACAGCTTCCTCCCAGGATTAGAATCTGTTTCTGCACAGACCATAGGTAAAGTCCATCTTGGAGATGCATGTTTGTTGGCTAATGTGCTTTTCAGCCCTGGTTCCCTGAGTCTCACTTTGAGAAGGTGGCTGATGAGGTGCCTCTCATCTGTGTGCTCACATTTCTTTCCTGTGAAAGCTTGGGGGCAGGACCTGTGTGTAAGGCAGAGTCTGGGTGCAGAGAACCACTTCAAGGTGCTAATTGTTGATTGTAGTCAGAAGAAAATGAACAGTGGGTTGGAAGATCTCTCTGTATGTCTGAATTTTTTTTATTCTGTATATAGGAACTCTATCATTGTGGATGAGACTATGCTTTGGATGAAAGTAAGGTAGCTAATTAAACATAGAGGTAAAATATGCTGGTGGTTATGATCAGGGAAAGAAATTTCTTCAATATTAAGTGACAAAATGCATACCTAAGTAGAACACAATAGGAGCAAACTTGAAATTTAAGTGTTTAATAAAATTCCACTTCTCTTCAAGCAGGCAACTGGTTTGATAATTTGTTTAACTATAGTTTTTTAAACCCAAGATGGAAAATAACTCAGACTGTCTGACACCTGAGGTAGTTTCAATCTCCTCTTGAAAATATGGCTGTTCTGTTCTATACCATTTTCTTAACCATAATAGCACTTGTATTCATATCATACTTTGTAACTATTGAGTGAATCTCTTCTATCCCTGAAATTAGAATGTCAGAATGCTCTAAACTATTTTATTTGAATTACAAGCATTTGATTCTTGAATCTGTCCTTTCTCTTTTGAAGTATTTAGATTTTAAAATGTTTCTTTAAGTTGTGGGACTGCACCTCCTGAAAATTAGCATCAGAATTGAGGCACATCCTGACATTTCTCAGAGCAAGTACTTTACAAAATAGAGAGCAGAGCAACCTTGTCTTTCTAATGGGGGAAAAATGTACAGTAAATTTTGCATTGGTATAATTTTATTTGCCTGTATAAGATATTCAGTTCTGTTTATATGCTTCATATTACGATCATACCTACTTGGACAGGAAAGGACTTCATGCATAGATTTTGTAAATCTTAAAGGCTCCATCTGGTGGGTTTTTTTTTTTAAATTTCTCCAAAAATAGGAATGTCATGTATAAAATGTATTTGATATGACCTAAATAATAATCTTATGCATGGTTTCCCCTTAAATACTTTTGATTATATGCAGGGATTTGCATGTTATCCCTTGTTAGTTTTGGTTGTAAGAGAAATAAATCATTAAAAGCAGTGTGCTTTGCACTACACTGCTGAAGTTAATTGGAGGTTTGTAGTTTATAGTCAAGGACTTGCAGGATCAGTAGTCACCTGATCCTGCACATACTTTTAGCCATACTCTTTTAAACAAAATCATAATTTCAAATAGAAACATATTGACTATAAGTAGAAACCTCAAACTCTGCTAGAGTAGAATATTTGTGCCTCTTCATTTTGCTAGATAAATAGAATGATTTGGGTTGGAAGGAACCTTCAAGACCATCTAGTTTTGGGTGTCCCATGGACAGGGACACCTAGATGCCTAGACCAGGTTGTTTAAAGCCCTGTCTGATACATCCAGGGATAGGGCCACTGCAGCTTGTCTGGGCAGCCTATTGCAGTGCCTCAACAACTTCACAGTAAAAAATTTTTTCCTAATATTTAGTATAAACCTACCCTCTCTCAGTTTGAAGCCATTTCCCCTTGTTCCCATCACTGCATGACCTTGTAAAAAGTCCCTCTCCAGCTCTCCTCTAGGCACCCTGTAGGTACAGAAAGGCTGCTAAAATATTTCTGGAGGCTTCTTCTGGACAAACAACTCCAGCTCTCTAAGCCTGGCTTCATAGGAGAGATGCTTCAGCTCTCTAATAATTTTTGTGGCCCCTCTCTGGACTTGCTCTAAGTCCATGTTGTCCTTATTTTGTGGGCTCCAGAGCTGGATGCAGCACCCACAGGAGCAGAGGAGAGGGAGAGAATCACCTCTGTCTTTTTGCTGGCCATGCTGCTTTTGATGTGGCTCAGGACACAGCTGGCTTTCTGGGCTGCAGACATGTATTGCTGTTTCATGTCAAGCTTCTTGTGATCCAATACCCTCAAGTTCTTTTCCCCAGAGGTCAATCCTTTCTCGCCCCAGCCTGTATTTATGCTTGGGATTGCCCCAGTCCAGGTGCAGGACCTTGTACTTGGGCTTCTTGAACTTCATGGGCTCACCTCTAAGTGTGCCCAGGCCTCTCTGGATGCCATCGCTTCCCTCCAGCGTGTCAGCTGCAGCACATGGCTCGGTGTTGGCAGACTTCCCACTGTGCATGCCAGTGACAGCAATGTTAAAATGGCACCTGTCTAATACTGACCCCTGAGGACACCACCTGCCATTGAGTCATTGGCTGCAACCCTTTTTGTGTAGCCATCCACTCAATTTCTTATCCACTGAGTGGTCCATCTGTCAAATCCATGTCCCTCCAGTTTAGGGACATCCTCCTACAATGTCATCTTATATCTGAATAATAATAGCATCGCAGAGAGGTCTTGCGTTTCTGGCCAGTAAAATTCCCCAGGAAGTGTCTATAATTTTAAAACAATTACACTAAGGACAAATTTTACTAAAGGAGCAGATGTTACAGCAGCTTTTCTTGAGTGGCAAGTATGAGGACACTGGCTTTAGGCACCCTCTGTGCCATTCTCTGAAGCCTGCTTATCTGTACAACGTCTACTTTGCAGGAGCTGTGAAGAAAATGTCTCTTTCACAGTTTGTAACCTAGTGCCCTAAACCTGCATTGGAATTCAAGGGGCAGACAGCTGCAGTCTTGTTTCTTATTACTTTGGTATTTGTCTGCATAGATGCTTATATAGGTCAGGCTTTCTAAACTGATCAGTTTCTAAGAGGGAAGGTGGGGAAGTGGAAGAAATATTGCTGTATTTAAATGTGATTATTTTTTCATTTTTAATGCCTTAAGAGGCCTTGTGCCTTCTTTCTTCCTGTTTTTTTTTTCCAGCTGACAGAGTTGATTTTGAATTGCAGTTGCCCCTGAAGTTGTAATGGTTCAAAATCAGGTAAATGGATGTAAAATTTGTTGCAAAATACATTTCACTGTATGAAGACAGGGGACCTGAGCCTATACTCAGAGGTATGCTTAGTTCTTAGAAATACTGGTAATCCAAGAAGCTTGTACCTGTTTTAGGTGAGCATGTGAAAGCTGCAAGAAATGAGAGTTGTGATCACAGTGGAAAGAAATACTTGAACAAATTAAGTAAAGTTCTTAAAATAAGAATTGCATTTGACAGCCATACCAGTGGGAGATACATTTGGTTCTTCACTTTGGGTTTAGTATTTTCCTGACCTTAGGTGAATGAGGGGGCAAAAAATTCTATTATATGGCACTGGTCTATAATTCATTCTTTGGTTGGGAAAAAATTTTAACTGAAAAAGAAGTCATGAGTGAAAGAACTTTGGGGAATGTACTTTTGTTCCTGTTCAATGTTATTACTTATTCATTCAAGTAGGTCCCACTCTGCTAAAGAATCTTTCTTGCAATGAAATTGGGTAGAAGAGCTGTGCTTTTAAAAATAGAAATTAGTTAACAGGATTAGCATTTTTAATGGCATCTAATTATGACTATGATTTCAGTGATGCCACTGTGACACTAGTGAGTCCCTAAGCAGTTTTGGTAATGCTGTTAACACAAATGTTGACTGAATGTTTGACTATGACATGTAAAGTACTGTAACTTATATGGTGAAGTTGTGTATATCCATTATTTGGTTTATAGCTTGTCTCCCATATATTGGTAACTTTGGCCTTGGAAGGAAAAGTCTGTTTGGCAACGAGTAGGAAAGGTCATCAGTTTCCTTATAGAACCTCAGGAAAGTGCTTTTAGGCTATTGTGAAACAGCATGAGTTTTTATGTAGAAATATATGTGAATGTTACTAAGTTTTCAGATACCTGACATTCAAGGAAGATCATAAAGCTTCTCTGTTATGTTTCAATAAACCTCCTGACCTGCTGCTCTCCAACTATTAGGTTTACCCAAGGGCATGCTTGCAATTTCTATTCTTCTCTTTCTCCTACATGAACAGATTGGCACAATGTATGAATAACCTCAGCCAAGCAGAAATAAAGATAGAGACCTGCTTTGCTCTTCACTTTCTTCCCTGGGGCAAATTGGATACCGAGATCCTGATCATAATTTTTATATACCTGTAGGGAAAATGTTTGAAGAAATCCTGCCAGAAGGAGAACAAATCAAGCCTGATAAACCAGTGAAAACCAAACAATCCTCTTCCAGTGCCACCTGTTTCCTCTACCCATTTTCATTTCTGAAATGATGAAAGTGCTATATTCTTTTCCCTTCCAATATCACACGAATATTGGGGAAGACAGTGTCTCTGTTTTGCCTTTCAGCATTCTTTGTAAAACAATTAGAAGAGGAGGCCCATCAGGAAAGAAACAGCTTTTCTGATGGACTGTGCTTCACAATTGTTTAGTATAGGAGACTTTGAGGAAAGTGTATTTACCAATAATAATAAACTTAGTATTGTTATAATGTAGCTCATAAGGGAAAAAAAAATGGATTTCCTGTGAAGCTTTGGATCTGAGACTTAAAAAGTCTGACTTAACAGTTCTTGTAATTTCTATCAACTATGAATAGAAACTCATTTTTGGGCCAAATATGTTATCCTTTTATAAGTTTTTGTATATGTGCAGTGTCTCTGTAGACACTGAATCACGTTTGTATAATTTTTCTTGATTTTACTGAATTATTTATTTCATTGAACTGCTGCTATTTTGCAGTACATAAAAACACAGTTATTTATATGTCTAATATACATCACAAGTTTCTTCACTAATTGAAGTTTCACTAATTCAGTTTGTACAGCACCCTTGCTAGCCACCCATTAGACAATGAGGGGTGAGAGGCAATAAGCTTTCCAGTATTTTCTGTCAGTTGTTTTAGAGTCACTTTCTGGTATCACAGGGGAGCTTAGATATTTTGAAATAGACACATTTTCCAGATTGAATTTTATTCCCCTTTTAGTAAGCCAAAATTTTGAATTGTTATGACTTTTTTTTTTAAAAAAAATTTTGTTAGAATTGGTTTCTAAAGACTTATATTCAATAAATCTTCATGGTGCATATTACTGAAATATATACTAAGGTAATAGACAGTAATTACACGGTAAAAATTCTATCCTAATAGGATTATGGTGTCTATTTTATAAGCTTACGGAGCTGGAAACGCTGTCATATCTACTTCATGTGTATGAGGAGTGGTAAGATTAAACCAGAAAACCCCGTAACACCAGGGAATGGCCTTGATTTCGGAGGCTTGCTTCTCAATACCTGGAATGTGAATTCTAATACTTCTGTATTGGATATCAACATATGCATATTTGATATCTATATATATATATTGGATACCTACATATCAGCATATATGAAGCTAGCTACTTGCCAAAACATACATTGGCTTTAAAATGTTTTTTTTTTGAAAAAATGGTCACCATCCAGAGTTGAGTTGAGAAGTGTCATACCTCTAATTGTTTTGTCTTTTATATTGCTTATTTATTTGTCTGACCACTTAATGTCTATTGAGTGGGAAAAACCCCATCAAAATATTTTTTACATAGATTAAGAAAGACAGGCTTTTAAGGGGGTCACTTTGGGTAAGTAATTTTAGAAGCGTTAACTGTTTAATAAGGCGGTTGGAGTATTTTTTTAGAAAAAGTAGGCATTTTTCAATATTGATTCTAGGTTATCCCTTATTTTTCTGTTCATTATTTGCAGTCACTTTGAGTGATGCAGGAAACAAATTAAAAGACATTTTAATTTCCCTTAAGAGTCTCTGTGCAACCTGGATGTTTTTGGAACCTTTACTATATATCATTCCTCTGACATTGTATGTATCAAGAGTGACAAGGCCAGGATGTGGTTTGAACAAATAATCTTTGACAGTGAATTTGTACCTTCCTCAAGAGCTGCCTTTTCCCAAGAATCATTTCAATGTACACTTGCCTAAGAATTATGAGGGTTGCTATGGTTGCAATTGGGGTAAAAAGGCTCTGTTGTTAGAAGGATCTATGAACACCAAATGCAGTATCTGCTATTGTGCTTGGCTTGTGACACACCCAGTACTACTAACCATGTCCATCATTAGGGATACAAGTATCAAGAGTGATGCAAGTTCTGCACTACATTTGGAATCCAGCTGATGTGGAAATGCACCTGAAGGCATTGAAAGCCTAGAAAAGGTGTATTAATATGGTACTGCTAGTCTTGTTGGTGGGCTCTTGTACTCAGTGCTTATGGCTCACAGTCACTGTGTGTAGATTTTTTTTCTTCATTTCTGATTTGCAAGCCTCTGTCATTGCTATGAAGTGATTTAGCACATATGCATTGATTTGTTCTGCAGATGGAACGTGTGCTGTTGTTCCACACATCAGTGGCAATGTCTGTGTGCATTGTTAAGAGATCAGGGATAGAAGCAGCAGCTGTGTATGTGCATGTAAAGGGAGATGGCATGAACAGCATAGTTAACAGGGTAGTTAGATGCATATGAAAGGACAGAAACCAGTAGAATAGGTCATGGCTCAATTGCCTTTGACCCATCAGCCAGTCTGTATCCCTGATAAAGTGAAATTTTCACTGCAGTCTACTTTTGAAACTTTTATCTGTGATAGTTTGAAGCAATTTCACAGTATAATTATTTCATGGGGGGAAGATCTCCATAAGGAAGTTCTTACAAAAAAATTTCTCTTCTGGTCTTCATCATTTCACTTCTATTTCTTGTGTGTCATGCTAGATAGATTTCCTTCTCCTTAGAAGTTCCATCTATCAAATATTCATGGATGCCCGTGCTCACTCTTCACTATTAGATAGCAAAATTCCATGTGTTTAACTCCTAATCTTTCCTCATAAATCAGCTTCTCAGTCTTATCATTCATGCTACTCTTTGCAGCCTGGTGGTGAATATTACCAGAGCTGCACACAGCCTTTCAAATGGAATCACAGCTAATAGAAGTAATGGTTATTGTTTTTCTGCAGTGTGGTTTCACCTTATGTGATCACCAGGAAGGCTTTATAAACCACCAGTAATACATCCTCAGGTCTTCTTACATTGCTTCTTTGTATGATTTGATTATTTGGGTGTGTTTCTATTTAACTTGAGTTTAATCTCCTGTATCTCAGCTAGATGCATATGTGATTTTGCTAATAGTGATCCCTGGTGTATGTCTCCAAGATGGCACATTTTTCCTTACCGCAAGGAAGAACTAGCACTTCTAATGTAAAAAATAGCATTAAATACCCTCAAAATCAAAGTATTCCATATCTAGTTTAATGAGACAATGCTATTGCTATCAGCTGAGAAAACCATCCTGTAGATTTTGCAGCTTATGAATGAAAAATACTAGATTACCATGTGTTGCTTTTATTACAGTAATGAAATGCCTTATAGTTAGAAGAAAGTCAGGCTTTCAGTGTGCTGCCTTTAATTCTGTTTCTTCTCTTTATTTTAAATGGGTCATTTTCCTCCTTTGAAGCTTAATATTAAAATATTTTTAATCTTGATTTCCATAGTGGACTTGGTTTTTATGAATGTATATCTAAAAATATGAAGAAATAAACAACCTCAGTTTTTGGAGTTTTTTCTGTTCTTTTTTTTCTGTATGTCAAAGATGAAACCATTTCAGTAGTAATTTCAATGTGTTCCAGGTTCAAAGCTGTTTTGACTGTGATAATTTTACATGACATTATGCTGATGCAACCATCCCACTGATGCAATGATTCCCACTTTTGGTTTGTACAAATACTGGTATTTGCAGATATAAATCTTGAAAGCAGTCATTCCTGCTTGAGTAGCATTTCAGAAAAAGTAAAGGATGACTCCAGTGCATTGTCCATTTGCTTCTTGTGTATTTTGCAGCTGTGCTTTTAACCTTGCCCTTGCAATGAATAGAACTTCAGGCCATATTCACAGCTTCTCTCTATCGTGAAATAAATCAGTTAAGATGCATCTTCCTCTTTGCACACTTCCTTTCACTTGAAATGCTTAATGTTGAAAATAGTTATTATCATATAATTTTCTAAAATTTAAAATATTTGCTGGTTTTCTTTCTAACACTCTGAAGTGGACTAAAGTTTGTCTTGGTAGTAATTTTTACTTTTCTGTAGGTGTTTTTGTATGTTGGTCACTAATCCTCAGATTTTAACAAGAGCAAGGAGTAAAACATTGGGGCAAAGAGTGAGTTTGAGAACTTTTTTCTGTCCTGAACAGGTAAAAGTCTCTACTGAAAAAAAGAATGCACAGAATTGCTATTTTGTCAAGGAAGAATAAGTGAGATTGAAGAAGAGAAGAATGAGCGAGAATGAATGAGGATAAATGACTGTTGTAACAAAATGCATGTATTTCTGCAGATCTTATTTTCATAAAGGAAAGCTATTCCTTTTCAGAAATGTCATAAATTCCGTGTATTAGCAAAGACAGCATGCCGCTAAGGAAAAATAAAATACTCAAAGAAAAGCCATAGTGATACAGAATGTAGAGGAGCGGGGTCACCGGCGGCCGCCGGTGCTGAGCCGCCGTGCCGCCGGTACCTGGCCACGGACCCCGAGGATCCGTCCCTTAATTACGGGGTGGTGGTGGACTGCGGGAGCAGCGGGCCCCGAAATTTCGTCTACTTCTGGCCCCCGCACAACGGGAACCCCCACGACCTGCTGGACATCAAGCAGATGAGGGACCGGAGCAGCCGCCCCGTCGTGGAGAAAATTAAACCCGGTGCGTGCTGCCCCTCTCTCCGGTGCGAGCCCGAGCCGCCGCGCACGGCCGGGGCGGGCTGGCTCACGGCGCCCTTCTCGCCAGGCATCTCCGCGGCCGCGGCTGCCCCCGAGCAGCCACCCCTACCTGCGGCCGCTGCTGCGCTTCGCGGCCGCGCACGTCCCGCCGCGCAAGCACAAGGAGACGCCGCTGTACATCCTGTGCACGGCGGGCATGCGGCTGCTGCCCGAGCGGTGAGTCCGCCGCGCTTGTCAGGCGAGCCTGGGGTGCGCTGGGATCCCTCAGCCCCGAGGAGGGGCGATACAGATGCCTGCTCTTGGACCTTGCGGGAAAATCGAGATTCCTGGGGGGGGGGGGATGAAAAAGGAAAGGGCGCGTTGTAGGGGTGAGTGGTAAGGGAATGCAGTTTGAGCATGCTAGGAGGGAGCTGAGAGGAGATGCTTTTGACTGAGGATATCAAACAAATAGATCTGTTTTTCATCTCCAAAGCATGCTGGCTGCAGCAGCTAAACTTGTGGGGTTGAACAGGGGCTGTAGTGTGGTGTGATTCCTGGTCTCTTCACCAGCATCTTTCCCTCTCCTGTACCATTGCAGGCAGCAAGCTGCAATCCTGGAAGACTTGGTGACAAATGTGCCCCTGGAGTTTGATTTCCTCTTCTCCAAATCACACGCAGAAGTAATCTCAGGGAAGCAGGAAGGTAGGAGCTGCCACAAAGCACTGCTTGTTCCTCTTTAGTATATTGTTGTAATGACCTCTTCCTGTGCAGGTGTCTATGCGTGGATTGGCATCAACTTTGTCCTGGGATGGTTTGATCATGAGGATGGTGAGTCTGGCTGCTTGTAGAACAGCTGGGAGGGTCTAAGCAGAGCATGCTGGACTTTGTACCTGTGCTGTAGCTAAGATCAACCTCTGAAGCACATTATAAGTGTGAAACTTTCCTGCACCTGGGAGGTGACCAGGTGCAACTGGCTCTTGGGGTCTGCCAGCAGAGGGGGAGGAGCCCCATGAAGCAGCTCTGGGGTGATGGCGGAAGGGAGAAGATGCTGCCCCAGGCCTTGCCTCTTGCTGACATGCTGCTGTGGGTTGCAGAGGAGGATGCAGTGGTCACCGTAGCACTCGGGGATCAGGGGAAGTCCCTGGTTCGGAAACGAACAGTTGGGATCCTTGACATGGGAGGCGCCTCCCTGCAGATTGCCTACGAAGTGCCTGACACCGGAGCCATCTCCTCCCCACAGCAGGTGCGTGTCTGGTCCCCGAGAGCAGCTCCTGCCTTCCCTGGATTGCTGCTGATCATGGACCTATGTGTGTCAGCAGGACGAGGCTGCCAAGAGCTTGCTGGCAGAATTCAACCTGGGCTGTGACGTGCAGCACACTGGCCACATGTACCGTGTCTACGTCAACACTTTCCTGGGCTTCGGGGGCAATTTTTCCCGGCAGCGCTATGAGGAACATGTGCTGAACCAAACCTATGTGCACAACCGGTATTGCTGCCTCACCTAGTGGTGCCCTCACTAGAGCATTGTGAAATGGGGTGCTGGTTCCTTCATGCTGTGCTCTCCTCCTTGGATTTGCCTCATGAGCTGCCTGTGGTGATAACAGCTCCCACAGCCATGCTGGCAGCAGCTGGTGCGTGGGCTGGCACAGAGGGCTTGGCTGCTGCTGTTCTCCAGGCGTTATCAGTGCCACAACTTTCTGCCTTCCTCCTTCTCTCCTTGTGACAGGCTACAGGGAGGCCCCTCCTAGTGGCTTTTGGCTTTTCCTGTTCTGACTTCCCCTCCTTCAGCACCGATTCACTCAACACATCTTTCCATTGCATCCCCACCTTGAGCTCTTCTGTCTCCTGTCTCTCCTTTCCTTCCAAGAGCACTACATGAAGCTGTCGCCACAGTTGGAGGCTTGGTGCCCAGGTACTCCTGTGCTGGGAGCAGCCCCTGCCTCCAGATCCCCAGGGGCTGTGCAGAGGCACAGATCCCCATGACCTGGGTGGCATGGGCTGTGCCTTGTTGCACCCTAGAGGTGCTCAGAGCATGTAGCTGCAGGCCAGCGTGACAGATCTGGGGAGTTCAGCCTTAGCAGGAGGTGGCAGGGAAGGCACCGGCTCTGCAGGGCACAAGAGGACACAGCCTAGTCTGGTGCAGAGGTCATCTGGATGTGGAACAGGGCTAGATTAGGCTTTTGGGATCTGTTATAGGACTCCCTGTGCAATTGCCATTTTTCCTGGACTGTTTTCCAGCCTGCACAACCAGCAGACAGGGCTGAGCCCTAAGATGCCCTTCTTGGACCCCTGCCTGCCTGTGGGGCTGGAGGACACAGTGGTGAGGGGTGGCCAAACCCTGCACATGAGGGGACGAGGGGACTGGCAGGCCTGTATAAAGCTGCTGCAGCCCCTCCTGGCAGGGTCCAATGGCAGCCATGCCTCCCTGGTGGAGACCTACAAAGCACCCATGGACTTCAGCAACAGCGAGTTTTACGGCTTCTCGGAGTTCTTCTACTGCACTGAGGACGTGCTGCGCCTGGGGGGCCAATACAGTGCCCCCACCTTCACCTCTGCTGCCCAGGTGGGTGCTGCCTCAGCCCGGGGGAGCCGGGCTGCTCTTGGGCTGGGAGTGAGGGCGGTTTCTCTGTTCTGAACCCCAGCTTCTCCTTCCCCCAGGAGTACTGCAGCCAGCGGTGGGAGGTGCTGGCTCAGCGTTTCCGCGGCGGCCTCTACTCGGCGCATGCTGACCAGCACCGGCTGAAGTAAATGCATGAGCTGGGAGGTGCCATGGCTGGATCTTCTGGGGGCCAGGAAAGGGACCGGCGCAGTTGACAGTTGATAGCGTCTGGCTGATGCTCCTGTGTGCTGTGTCCGCAGGTATCAGTGCTTCAAATGGGCCTGGATGTACCAAGTCCTTCATGAGGGCTTCCAGGTCCCACTGGACTACCCCAGCCTGCGCACAGCCCAGCTGGTGTACGGCCGGGGGGTGCAGTGGACGCTGGGGGCCATCCTCTACAAGACGCGGTTTCTGCCACTCGGGTACCCTCGGCTGGCGGGTGGCGTCACAGAGAAGGGTGGCTGGGGAGGGGCAGGAGTAACTGCACTGGGTGAGGGCTCTGCACAGAGCATGGCAGGTCCCTGGCAGTGCCCCGCTGCATCTCGTGGCCAGTCCTGACGTTCCTCTCCGTAGGGATCTCCGTCAGGAGAGCATCTGGCAAGCACACGCCTCCTGGCTGCGCCTCTCTTTTGTCTACAAGCACTCTCTCTTTTTTGCCTGCATCCTGGTTGTGGCGCTGGCCATCGTCCTCTACCTCCTGCGGCTGAGAGCTTGGACTCCTCCTTAAAGACCATCTCCAAGTCTGCACTCCATCATCCGTGCGTCAGAACCGGAGTCCGTGTGCTGAGGCAGCTATGGACATGAGAGCTTTCCTCTCCACCTTGCCCCAGTCCTAATCTTTGCATTCCTTGGCCTCTGGCCTTTGCCTCACTACATGGTGTAGAGCAAAGTCCTCTGCTACCAGCAGGCTCAAGGCTGCAGCCCTGGCAGATCCCTCGGATAACAGGACACTATCACTGAGGCAGCCAAACCAGGGCTCTGGCCTGAAGCACTGAGCCACCCCATGACTCAGCCACCAGTTTGCAAAGCAACCTGGTGAGGTGCTGTGGTTCATCACCTGGGGTGGCCTTCTGCAGGCCCTGACAAGCCTGGGGCTGGGAGAGTGGCAGGCACCAGCTAATTTACTGCAGGAACAAGGTAAACCATGAGCTCCACCAGGCTGCTCTGCCCAGCCTGGCCCCTCTTGGAGTATTCCTGAAGGGGTGTCCTGCTCTTTGCTATGTCTTCCCTCTGAGGACAATCCTACAGTCCTACCCAACATCCCAGATTGAGCCCTGAGGGCTCACCGATTGATTTTTGAGGCACCACCAAAGTGGGCTGTCTTTCCTTTCACACATTAATTCATTCCCTCCTGGGCACAGCTGCCCTGTGCTGTCCCAGGTACCAGTGTCAGGATCCGTGGTTCTTTCCTCCAAGGGGGTGGGCTGGGCCTGCCCCGGGAGAGCCACCTCAGTCCAGCCCAGCTCATGGCCCCAGGACAGGCCAGGCCTGAGCTGTGCACACAGGCACAAACCTTCCCTGGGGCTGCAGCCCCACCAGTGGTCCAATGAAGTTTGTCACTTTACTGAACTCAGCTGTTCCCATTCCTGTAGCAATAAACAAACCCTGTGAGCCATCCAGCACTGTCTCATTTCCTAGCAAGCAGCTCCCAGCAGCGATGGTGGCATGGCTGGTGGCTGCATGTCTGCACAGCTCTGCTGCTGCTTCCTGCTGCCACAGTGGGATGATGGAGCTCCTTTCCTGCCAGCATTACTCTCCGATTCCAGCAGGACTGAGCTTAACTGAGCTGGTAACAGCAAGGGGTGCTCTGATCCAAACCAAACTGCTGGAATTCTTGGAAACAGAATCCTTTGCTGCCCTCTTCTAAGAGGAAAAGCCTGCCCACTTAGAGCCCCTCCAAGATGTTGGTCTCTGCTTTTTTCCTTTATTCCTCACCTGAGTCTTAGCTGCCTGGCAAAGAGGCCTCTGGGCTGTTCTACCACCATGGAAATGGTGCCTGCACAGCTGCAAGAGGCTGGGCAAGTAGCCAGTTCTCTCTAGCACACACAGTTCCCTCCCTGTGACCCTGGTCCCACAGCATGAGCACACAGGTGGCATCAAGGATGAAACTTTCCACACACCAGCCTGCTGCTGACCTCCACATCTGAGGATTCCAGCCTTGGTCTCATGGTGCAAGAACAGTGCTGGGGAAAGGAAAGGTGTCTGAATAAGGCCAAGACTGCTGCTCAGCCTCAAAACAGCAAGTGACTCAGCGTCCAGCACGACTTACTAGAAAAATGATTTATTTCCACAACACAAGCTAAATGACACAGACAAATAAATAAGTACAGATAAATTATCTGATAAATAAGGGGAAATATGAAACACAATGCCCTACTTGGCTCACCTCAGAACCTGGACCCATCTTACGGTGGAGATACCTAAACATTACTGCTCAGGTGGGAGACAGCCCTCTTTTCATCCCTGCCAGCAGACCCCAACACCTCCCTTGTCACACCCAAGGGGCTTTGCATGCTTCTCTAGGATCAACCCTCTGGTTCTCCCACCACAGGGGACTGGCCAGACCACAGAGGATGTGATGGCTCTTATGTTCTCATGCAGATGGCAGTCAGTGGATGCAATGATCAGGGACAGGGCAGCTAGCTGGGCAGCTTAAGCTATGAGGAGGGGTTTCACATGGGGGCTAAGGCTGAACACACCAAGAGGGTAGGAAGAACACTGCTGGGACAGGACCCGCTCGTACCACACACAGATCCCTCACAGGATGGTGCTCAGCCACTGCAGCACTGGCCAGCTGAAGGGATCTCTCCCTGGCAGTGTGGCTGCTCCTAGGGCTGGATTAGTAGGCCCTCATCCAGGGATCTTGCCTGCCATGCTTGGGGACCCAGCCATCCATTGCTCCGGGCTGCAGTGCTCCAGGTGTGTTTGGGGAGCGGGTCCAGCCTCTCTCCCAGCACCTCTGGGGGCTGTTTGGTACAGGAGGGTAGGGGCTGGAACAGCTACAACAGCTGGGGGAGGGAGAAAGGAAGAGAAGTTAGCACCAAACCGCATTCACGAGGGAGCTCCCACAAATGTAGGAATTACAATTCTTGATTTGCTCAGGCCCAGCAGAGAGCCGGCAGCCCCACGCTGGGCCCAGCAAAGCATTTCCCCCAGCCCAGCAAGGGCTGAGCTGCAGCTCCCTCCCCAGCCAGGTCCAGGCAGGCAAGCAGGGCCATCCGCCAGCCCGGCTGTGTGCCCACTCACGGTGATGGTTCGATGGGCTCTCTGCTGAGGTGCCGGCTCCCAGGGACCGCTCACTCCCAGAGGAAGCGCACGTACCAGATGGTCTCGTTCTTCAGCTGCGGCCCGAACAGGGGGTTGGCCTGGGCCAGGATGGCGATGAGCCAGCTGCAAAGGGACGGAGCCCGCCGTCAGCCGCGGCAGGAACAGCGCCGGGAGCGGCCGCTGCCCCGGGAGGGGGCGGGCCGCGGCCCGGGGACCGTCCCGTCCGCCCGTGGAGGAGGCCGGGCGGCTGCCACCGGTCTCGGTGAAGCCAGCGGAGGTGGGGGGAAGGGTACCGGGCCCGGCCCGCCGTACTCACAAGAGGTAGCAGCACACGGCGGTGGTGACCAGCATCGTGATGATCACCCTGCGGAGACAGCGGCGTTAGCACGGCGAGGCCCGGCTCCAGAAGCCCCGGCCGCGGCGCCCCCCGAGCCCGCACTCACCCGCGGTTCGGCCCCTTGGGCACGAACCAGGGGGCGGCGATGCCCACGAGGCCCCAGAAGGCGGAGAAGAGGACGAGCGGCAGCGCCAAGCTGTGCGCCGTCATGGCCGCCCCGCGCCGCCCCGCCCCGCGTCCGCCCCGCGCCGCCCCGCGCCGCCCCGCCCCGCGTCCGCCCCGCGTCCGCCCCGCGTCCGCCCCGCGCCGCCCCGCCCCGCCCCGCCCCGCGCCGCCCCGCGCCGAGCCGGCGCGCCGCCGCCTCCCATTGGCGGATGCGCTCGGCCCGGCCCGGCCGCGCGTGCCTCGGCACGTGTCTGCCGAAGGAGCCGGCGGCAGAGGCGGGCGCTGCGCGCAGCTCGTGTCCGGCACACCGCCCGCACCCGCCCCGCCGCCGCCCGCCCAGCCCACTGCCAACCGCTTTGTAGGGCTTTGTGCCGGTTGGAACCGGCTTGAATTGGTTTGAACCGGTTTGAACCGGTGGGAACCGGTTTGAACCGGTTTGAACAGGTTTCAACCGGTTACGACCAGTTGGAACCGGTTTGAACCGGTTTGAACCGGTTTAAACTGGTTTCAACCGGTTTGAGCCGGTGTGAGCCAGTTTGAGCCGGTTTCGACCGGTTCGGACTGGTTTGAACCAGTTTGAACCGGGTACGACCGGTTTGAACCGGTTTTGACCGGTTTAAACTGGTTTTGACCGGTTTAAACTGGTTTTGACCGGTTTGAACCGGTTTGAACCGGTTTGAGCCGGTTTGACCGGTTTGAACCAGTTTGAGCCGGTTCCGACCGGTTTGAACCGGTTTTGACCGGTTTGAGACGGTTTAGACCGGTTTGAGCCGGTTTGAGCCGGTTTGAAAAGGTTACAACCGGTTCGAACTGGTTCTGACCAGTTTGAACCGGTTTGAGCCGGTTCCGACCGGTTTGAGCAGGTTTGAGCCGGTTCCGACTGGTTTGAACCGGTTTCGACTGGTTTGAACCGGTTTAAACTGGTTTCGACCGGTTTGAACCGGTTTGAGCCGGTTCGGACTGGTTTGAACCGGTTTGAGCCAGTTTGAGCCGCTTTTGACCGGTTTGAACCGGTTTTGACTGGTTTGAACCGGTTTAAAACGGTTCCGACCGGTTTGAACCGGTTTGAGCCATTTTGAGCCGATTTCGACCGGTTCGGGCTGGTTTGAACCGGTTTGAGCCGGTTTAAAGTGGTTTGGACCGGTTTAAACCGGTTTTGACTGGTTTGAACCGGTTTGAGCCGGTTTGAGCCGGTTCGGACTGGCTTGAACCGGTTTGAGCCGGTTCGTACTGGTTTGAACCGGTTTGAACCAGTTACGACGGGTGTGAGCCGGTATGAACCGATTTGAGCCGGTTTTGACCGGTTTGGACAGGTTCCGACTGGTTTGAACCGGTTTAAACTGGTTTTGACCGGTTTGAAACGGTTTGAACCGGTTTGAGCCGGTTTTAACTGGTTTTGACCGGTTTGAATAGGTTTGAACCGGTCTGAACCGGTTGTGACCGGTTTGAACTGGTTCCGAACGGTTTGAACCGGTTTAAACCAGTCGCGACCGGTTTGAACTGGTTTAAACTGGTTCCGACTGGTTTGAGCCGGTTTGAGCCGGTTTGAGCCGGTTTGAGCCAGTTTTGACTGGTTTGAACTGGTTCAGACCGGTGTGAACTGGTTTAAACTGGTTTTGACCGGTTTGAACCAGTTTGAGACGGTTTTGACTGGTTTGAGCCGGTCTCGACCGGTTTGAACCGGTTTGAGCAGGTTTAAAGTGGTTTCGACCGGTTTAAACTGGTTTCGACTGGTTTGAACCGGTTTGAGCCAGTTTGAGCCGGTTTGGACTGGTTTGAACCGGTTTGAGCTGGTTCGGACAGGTTTGAACCGGTTTGAACCGGTTACGACCGGTGTGAGCCGGTATGAACCGGTTTGAGCCGGTTTTGACCGGTCTGAACTGGTTCTGACCGGTCTGAACTGGTTTAAACTGGTTTTGTCCGGTTTGAACCGGTTCGATCCGGTTCCGACCGGTTTGAGCCAGTTTGAGCCGGTACCGACCGGTTCGAACCGGTTTTGACGTGTTTGAACTGGTGTAAACTGGTTTTGACCGGTTTGAACCGGTTCGATCCGGTTCCGACCGGTTCGAGGCATTTTGAGCCGATTTCGACCGGTTTGGGCTGGTTTGAACCGGTTTGAACCGGTTACGACCGGTTTGAGCCGGTTTTGACCGGTTTGAACCGGTGTAAACTGGTTTTGACCGGTTTGAACCGGTTCGATCCGGTTCCGACCGGTTTGAGCCAGTTTGAGCCGGTTCCGACCGGTCCGAACCGGTTTTGACTGGTTTGAACCGGTTTAAACTGGTTTTGACCGGTTTGAGCCGGTTTGAACCAGTTTGAGTCGGTTTGAACTGCTTTTGACCGGTTTGAATCGGTTTGAACCGGTCTGAACCGGTTGTGACCAGTTTGAACTGGTTCCGACCGGTTTGAACGGGTTTAAACCAGTCGCGACTGGTTTGAGCCGGTTTAAACCGGTTCTGACCGGTTTGAGCCGGTTGGAGCCCGTTTGAGCCGGTCGGAGCCGGTTTGAGCCGGTCGGAGCCGGTTTTGACTGGTCGGAACCGGTTTCGACCGGTTTCGACCGGTTCAAACTGGTTTCTACCAGTTCGAACCGGTTTGAGCCGGTTTGAGCCGGTTTGAGCCGGTTTGAACCGGTTTGAACCGGTTTGAACCGGTTTGAACCGGTAATGACCGGTTTGAACCAGTCGAAACCAGTTTGAACTGGTTTCGACCAGTTTGAACCGGTTTGAACCGTTTTCGACCGGTTTGAACCGGTTTGAGCGGGTTCGAGCCGTGCTGCTCCTTTACTAATGGCCTAGAAAATGTTGGAAGTGCTGAGTGCCAGTGTTTGGCGCTGGCAAGATCTCCTGGGGCATGGAATGGAGGCAGATTTTCTGGAGGCAGGTTGTGCGTGTCGTTCCAGGCTCACACATCGTGTGGTGAGACATCCAATGATACACCATTCCCTACAGCAGCTGGAACTCCAGGAACGCTGTATAGAGATCCACCCGTTTTGGCATCTAGGCCACAGCACATAGGCATGGTGCCTCCATTTCTCATCCGGCCTGCAGTCTCTTTTGCAGCTCCACCCCGGTGACTCGGAACGATGCCATTTGCTGCTCTGTCTTCTGTGGTTTCAACCGAAGGACTCGGGACTGACCTCGGAGAACATTGTCCTGTCATCTGCTGAGGAGGATTCTTGAAGAGAGATTCCTCTCAAGAACAAATGGGAAGAGGTGACAGGCAGGGGATTGTCAGTGTTGCAGCATTCCGTGCCCGCCTGTTGTTTTCAGACATGGAGGCAAAGGGTGTAGTGTGCTCTGTTGTTTTCCAGAGAGCCATGGCTCAGCTCACACATTTATTCCGCAGCAGGAATATGCGTCGAGGTGTTTTTGTGAGGGCTGCTTCAGTCGGTTCCTTTGAATTGTTCAAGTCCTTTGCTTCAACGCAGCTCACACATCCAGTAGTTAAGGAATTCCCGATCATCCGTTTGCCGAAACAGATTGGTGCAAATGGCATCTGTCAAAGTTTGGACACGAAATCTCTTGCAAATCTTCATCTTGAAGGAGCACAAAAGATGGAGAGACAAG